ATTGTAATAAATAATAACAATATACTGTAATATTTGTTATACATTCTGTAATAAAATTTATGCGACGGATACAAATTTTATCTTACTGCAGATCTTCTCAAGTACAGCATAAGATTTTTTATTACCTTATTAAGTCAAGAACATTTCCCTCTTGACTTAAAAGAAGCTACGGTGTTTCTATCAGGAAAAGTTTGGATATTGATTCAAGGCAAAACGCAATAAAATATTTGTGACCATGAATTGAAAGAAATTTTTTCTTTCTCTGTCTATTGTTACAGAATACAAAGAATTCTTTATTACGATTTGCTGAACAAATGGATAATGCGCCAAACGACAATCAGCATGAGTCTCATTTCAGTAACAGATTGGAGTAGTACAGACCATCTTCAATGGTAGACATTCGACTGCTTCATTTTCTGTGTGGCAATAGTAACGCATTCTTCACATTAATCTTCTTTAAATTCTTGCTCACATTGCTCTATGGAGCACTCCATGTCGGCTTAGGGTTCCAATAATTCCAAGATATATAAAATTCCTTGAACACTTCACCGAATCAAAACCGGAATCTTTCTTTTATTTTAGAATAGACAATATAACTGAAAGGTGGCGTAAGGTTATACAACTCAGGGTGTCTACTTTGATGAATATAAATTTGTATGAATATGATTTTAAAAAAAATGCTAAATTTGCGTCAAACCAATATATATATATATATATATATATATATATATATATATATATATGTATATATGTATGTATATGTGAATAACTATATATATATATATATATGCGTGTGTGTATGTGTGTGTGTGTGCATTTATACACACACGCACACATATATACACATATATATGTATCTGTGAGTGCATGTGTGCGAGTGTTGTGTGCATGAGAGTGGTACTGAAAATTTCTAACGCCGACCGATTTTCCAAGATCGGACCAAACATAAGAATTTATTTATGGAACACTTTCGACTCAGGATATGATCTTTTCCGCACCTCTTTACAAACACACACACACACACACACACATATATTGTATGTTGTATGTCATATTTTTATCATATATATATATATATGTGTGTGTGTGTGTACATATATACACACGTATTTATATATATGTGTGTGTGCGTGTTTGTGTTTGTGAGAGAGAGATATACACTTCTATATATATATTTCTAAAAGTGGGTAACTGAATGAGAAAATCAGAAAGGAATCTTGGTTCATATAATGTTTCAGCTTTCCTAACAGTTATTTCAATGTGGGAGGATACTCACAGGGTGGATAGAGTGAAGAGGCTCAAGGGAAAGCAACATCTGACCTGGGCTTAAGAAACTGGATAGCAGAACAGCGTTTGGGAGAATTGACAAATAGACAAAACTTATTGAGAGCTACAAGGAACAGGATGTAGTGAAGAGACATGATCGTCTACAGCCTTGATAGGACACGACACATAAAAGAAATAGAAGCGATAAAAACAACAACAAAAAAGCGCTACAAAACTGAACGAAGTCGTTTATGTTATGCATCTTGATATATCAGACGCCCTCAATTTTAATTTTAGATTTAAATAGAAGATTTTGTGTATCTTCCGCATTTTTGCGACATAGAATTCTTGTATTTCCTTCCCTCTCTTACATGCACATTTATAAACGTACATGTTTGTTTATAAGCATTATATAGTCTGAATACGTTCCTCAAAAGTACGAAACGCGTAACGCAGGTTTTCTTTTTCTTTTTTTTTTTGTTATTCAGTAACGCCCCACGCTCTCTGGCTTGCACACACACACACACACACACACACACACACACACACACACACATATATATATATATATTTATATATATATATACGGCAAAAATCAAAAATTACTCAACATAGGGATAGTCTATTTCAAAGCCGTTCTTCACACTGCTTTCGTCAGCCTCTAAGAGGTTGACGAAATTTTTTCTGATATACATACACACACACACACACACACACACACACACACACATATATATATATATATATATATATATATATATATATATATATATATATACCAGCCTCTAAGAGGTTGACGAAATTTTTCTGTAATATATATATATATATATATATATACACATACATATATATATATATATATATATATATATATATATATATATATATATCAGCCTCTAAGTGGTTGACGAAAGCCGTGTGAAGAATGGTTTGAAATAGACTGTCTCTATGTTGAGGTAATTTTTTGTTTTTTGCTGTAAAAAATACATATGCTCTGCTAAAATAAAAACAACGTGCTCTCTGTGGATCAGCTTTAATAATTAATATTACTACGATCCACCCGGATTACATACCAACGGATCGATTACCTGTATTATATATATATATATATATATATGTTTACGGAAACATATATATATATATGTTTACGGAAACAGTGAGTTTTCAATGATCCTCTTTATAGAGAATAGGAAACCATCTAGTGCCCTTTTTTTTCCTCCGAGACTTGAACACCGACCTCTGTCGCCGGTGGATAATATATGAAACGAGTTTCTTATTTAAATTAATTAACTCAAATAGGAGGGCAACCAATGAAAGACAGACTGATTAATTCATCGAGGCAAACTTTCTGAATACCCATCGAATGCAGGCGAATGATTCAATGTTTGTTTATCATTCTGTATAAATACCAGTGCTGAAAAGTTCGCAAACAAACCAAATCCTATTTGACAGGGAAATGATCAGGAAGAGTAATTTTCAGCAAACTCACGTATAAATAATTCTTCGTCGACAGAATAAATATGTATAAAAACAAATTTCATATAATGTAATATATTATAACGATATACATAAATACATAAATATATATATATATATATATATATATATATATATATATATATATATATATATATATATATATATATATATTTAAACATATTTACGACGCATGTGTCTGCCTGTATAATTTTGGAAAATATGATTGTGATTTCTGAAAAATGCTAAACTGAATATATATATATATATATATATATATATATATATATATATATATATATATATATATATATATATGTATATATATATATATATATGTATGTATATATATATAAACCTTGATATATATATATATATATATATATATATATATATATATATATATATATATATATGTATGTATATATATATATGTGTGTGTGTGTGTGTGTGTGAAAGAGCTTTTATTTGTCCGAACAAGAGAAGAGTCTATCTTTTAAAAAGAAGATAAGCCGAAAACGTTTTTGGTTGAAATGTGGATTTTTATTTCAAAATATTTATTACACTCTATTTTCCATAATTCTGCTACACGGGTTTCTAGTTTCACGACCTTCGTCAGGAAAAGAGTAGACATTTTCACCTATGAAAATTAATTTCTGCATGGTATTGATTCAAATGTCTATATATATATGATCTGCATTATGGATGTATGATTTTATCACCAGTCTAAGAAAGACATTTGAATCTCTACCACGCAAAAAATTCATTTTTATAATATATGAAAATGTTTACTCTTTGCCTGAAGAAAGTCGTGAAACCAGAAACCCGTGTAGAAGAATTATGTCAAATAGAGTATAATAAATATTTTAAAATCAAAATACACATTTCATCCAAAAACGTTTGCGGTTTATCTTTCATATATATATATATATATATATATATATATATATATATATATATATATATATATATATAAAGATAGGTAGATATATAGATAGATAGATAGATAGATAGATAGATAGATACTGAAAACTTTTCCATTTTCCTAAATCAGTTTAAGCGACCACATATCAAAATGAAAGTGGAAGGTCATTTGATCAGTCTTTCAGTACCCGCTCCCATATGCATCGAGTAATAAAATCATATATATATATATGTATGTGTGTGTGTGCATGTGCGTTATAGTGTTTAATTTCTCAATTATAAACTTTTTTACATTGTTGAATTTATTCTAACTTGTTTCGATATATATATATATATATATATATATATATATATATATATATATATTGCGTATTTAGGCAATAATCCCTCATTTATACATGTTTCCTTAAAGAAGACAGACCAGGTGCTACGGTTAAGCTTTTTATTTAATTTTTCTTATGCTCATGCAAGTGTTTCCTTTCCTGGACTCTGACTGCGTATGAACAGTCCAAATGTTCTGTAATTCTAAGCGTTTTCGGCTATAGCCATTTTCAAAGATTATTTTATTTTTGCTTTTGAATTGGGTGTATGGGTTGTGTGTATGTATCTAGATTTATAGGGATGTTTTATTTTCCGAACACAGTCAGAACATTTTGGCCATGTTGGTATATATAGTTAATATTAATGAGTGTTGGCTTTTTCTTTTTTTTATTATTAAGACTGGTCAGTTTCTACACACTCCGTGTTCAGAAAAGAAAACACACAAGAAACATTAAATAAAACGCTTAATCTCAACACCTTGTCTGTCGTCTTTCATGAAACACAAAACACACACACACACACACACACACACACACACACACACACACACACACACACACACATATATATATATATATATACATATTAGTGCATCTTTCTTTACTTATAGATACATAAATCTATGCAAGAATATGCATATGTATAAATAATTTTAATATGATAACATTTAATTCAATTATTCCACTGGAACACAGACTCACACACGTTATAGGGAAAACTCCCACATTATAGAAAAAGTGTTCCTGTGACGCGTTTCGTCCATTAGGACTACATCGAGCTAAAGTTATGTTGACTTTAATATATCCCCACACATATAAGATGGAGAGAGAACGATTAGAATTTTAAATTAAATTAATATTTTTTTATTATATGTTTTGGATATATAGTCTAGGTTATTCAGTTTCTTTTTGGTCAACTTTCTGTCATTTCATTATTAAATATACGACATTGCGATTATAGAAGATCTATCAAGAAAGGTCAATGCTATAAAAACATTTTTAATTAACCCGACAATGTGTGTCGCTTCTCTGTTTCCAGTCTCCTTCCGTTATCTATCTATCTATCTATCTATCTATCTATCTATCTATCTATCTATCTATCTATCTCATTATGATCTTGTCTATCTATCTTTCTATCTATTTATACCATATCAACCTATCACAGTCTGTTATCTATCTATCTATCTATCTATCTATCTATCTATCTATCTATCTATCTATCTATCTCATTATGATCTTGTCTATCTGTCTTTCTATATATCTATATACCATATCAACCTATCACAGTCTGTTATTATCTATCTATCTATCTATCTATCTATCTATCTATCTATCTATCTATCTATCTATCTTATTCTATTCTTATATATCCAAGTAGCTATCTCATTCCGTATTTATCTAGAAAACAAAAACGCAAACAATCTAAATAAAACTAGCTAGATTATATAACGATGACCTATATTTAAGAAAAAAATTCAGATTTAAAATTTCTCTACGTCCCCTCTCTTTGGTGCGCATGCGTAGTTGCATCAATGTAAACGTCACTTCCGTCCGATGAACTCCTAAAAAACGAAATACGTCACACGAAATTGTTTTCCACGTTGTTATCGCTATCCTATATATATATATATATATGAAATAATATTTAAGAAACAGCAGATATTTTTCTAGTAAAATCATATATATATATATATATATATATATATATATATATATATATAGGATTTTAAGAAATATATATATATATATATATATATATATATATATATATATATATATATATATATATATATATAAAGAAATAAGATTTATGAAACAGCAAATATTTTTATAGAAAAATCATATTGAAATAGACCGTTAATAATATTATATGAAAAGATAGCTTAACCTTTAAGGGATAAAATTGATATTTAAAAGGTAAGTAATTTTTCACATTATATATATATATATATATATATATATATATATATTTTAAATTATAATTACAACTAGCTTGTGTTTGGCAATTTATCCCTATTTTATTAATGTCTAGCATCTAGCAGTCGATTATTATTTAATTATTAATCAATTCAATGTTGATTAATTAAATAATAATAATAATTAACCCTCGATTTGATTTTGTTTCGTCCTAGGGACTCTGTCTGCGTCATTTTTTTTTCTTTGTCGTTTGATTGGAATCCCGTACCATTCGTTTCATTTTGTTTTCTTCCTTTGTCCTTTTTTCTTTAAATAAATTACCGATTTTTGTTTTCAAATGTTTTAACGAGTTTGTTAGAGTACAGGACCGGCGAGCCTGCTGCATACGCTTTTGAGATGTGGATAATTTATAATTTTATTTATTTATTTTTTTTTTTCATATTTATTTATTTTTTTTTTTTTTTGGGTAATTTTCGCATTTTTCTTTCCGCTAATATCTTTTTGTTTTTGTTTTCCCCTCTCTCTCTTTGCATTAGCTTCGAGCTCTGTCCCATTATTCTGATGCTGGTCATAGACACGTGTGTTTCATTTTCGTTATCCGGCACGCTTCACACATCACTTCGCAACACCAACGAAATGTGCAGTTGCAACGTTCGACAACCATGTAGGTCTGGGTTTTATGACCCCGGCCGCAGCACATGAGGTCGCAGCCTTCCAAGCCCAAAGAAGTGTCGTTGCATTCTCGTCCAACAGTGCCTTTAAAGCCGATATTGTTGTTTTGGTTGCAAAATTCTGGAGATTTCTCGAAATATACTAGGTCTTTTTTGCTAGGAGCTTTATGGTTTGGATCATATGGTGTGAATGTGAACTTCCGCCGCCGACGTCGATCACTTCCTGCGTTGCCTGTTCGGAAGAAGAAAACATAATAATATTAATAATAATCAATACAACAAGAAAAAGGACAACAGCATCTGTTTATATTTCTTAGATGAGGTATTGTAATTATTTACACTATTTATATTGTTCGGACTGTTGTCCTCATCTCTGTTGCCATATTCACGACGTTTCGACCGTTGTACGCTCCGGCCTTCTTCCGGAGAGAGGGAGATAATAGGCACTGAGATATCCGGAAGAGGCATAGCACGTGGAACTAGAACAATTTACCCCGGTGGACCAAATAAAGAGTTCAGTTCGAAATTCCGATCGTCTGAAGAAGACCGGAGCATCCAACGGTCGGAACGTCGTGAATATAGCAAAAAAGATGAAGACAACAGCTCAGACAATGTAAATAGTGTACATAAGAACAACAACAGCATGACAATTAATAATATACGGTAACCAATAAATCCTTTGCCGTTTCTTTTTACGTCATGTGGGGAGAAGTCATCTCTGATATGTAAATGCGTGCATCACGCGTCGGGAAAGCGGTGGATGTGGGGGTGGAGGCATTGCTTTCGACTAATCCAGATGCGTTGCCCACAGCGGCATGGCAACATGGCTGTGGCTCGTTCGGGGTTATCTGCTTTGTGACTTTAAGCTGGGCTTGTCCGCAGCCACATCAAGTCATCGAATACGTCAAGCCTTTGGAGGTAATACCATGAAGTAACTCACCGCCAGACATTGGTTTCAGATGTTCAGGTCGGGAGATCTGTCACTTTGTGATGAATCCCGCAGGTCCTGGGTGATGAGGTCCTGAAAGCGGCCATAGAAGGGGGCAACAGCCAAACCTGTGGTGAGCTTGCCAAACGCTTCCAGGTTTCTGGTGAAACAGAAAGACTTCATTTGCAGCGCAAAGGTAAGGCGTACAAATTTAGTGAGTTGGTACCTCAAAAACGATAGGAAGTCAACCAGCAACGTACCCATATTTGATCGAGTGATCACCAATGACGAAAAGTGGTTCCTGTATGACACCCGCAAGCGTGCCAGACATTAGTTTTCACCACGGGACTCTTTGTTTCACACCGCAAGACAACCTCTACACCCACGCAAGATCATGTTCTGTATTTGGTCGACAAGTGGTGCATTATGAAACTACCAAGGAGTCAAACCATCACTGCGGACCTGTACAAGAGGCACTGAAGCAGAAGGAGTCAGCATTGGTTAATCGCAAGGGTATACTATTTGTCCATAACAATACCAGGCTTCATGTGGCTCGGGTGGCCACGGATACCATATGGCGACTTAGCTGGGAGACACCGAGGCACCCATCTTACTACCCAGATCTTACGCCAACAGATTACCACCTCTTCCATTCACTGAACAACCACCTTCGTATGAAATCTTTTGATAATGAGCCAGAGTTGAGGCAGGTACTCACAGATCTCTTTGCGTTCAAGTCACCTGAGTTTTTACTACCAGAGCATATGGCACCTGGAGACACGTTGGCAACAGTTTCTGGATACCGATGAAGACTACCTGTATGCCAAATTTGCAGTGTACATCTGTTTTTAATATATCAAAAAACTGACAAGATTTTTTGGTTATCTTGTAATACTAATAATAGTAATATATATATATATATATATATATATATATATATATATATATATATATATATACTTATGCTCCAATTTATTTGATATGTAAATTATTTGTTTATTTTTATGATTAGTCTTGACTATATGCCCATGCTTGTTCACTCACATATATTCAAATAAAATTGAAAATTATTTTTGAATGGATCTAATATCATATAATAATTGCGCTTCGTTAGTTAGCCCAACCATTACGTCCTGACAATACCTCATAAATAATAGACTATTTCATTTTGTACACATTTTAAAAAGTTGGTGCAATATTCATGTTTAATTTTATTAAGGTTTGATTTCAATTTTTTAATATGGATAGCTTCGAGAATTTTTTGGTTTACGTTTATTATTTTCATCGATGCATTTTCAACAAGAATTTTTCTGAATTGCGAATGTAGACATGTGTGCTGTTTTAAATGTTTAAAAATGTGGGCCATATCATTCAAATGAAAACTCAGCCGCCGAGACAACGTGGTCGTAGTGTGCCCAACATAAATATTATTTTTTCCATTGGAGATAAAATCTCCCAGAGAACGTTTAAATTTATAAACAATGTTGTTTTTCTGCAACATGTTAATAGGTGGGGAAGTGTCGTTAGGGATGATTGAATTAGATATACTAGATTTAGTGTAGTATATAATTAATGTCATTTTTTACTAGGATCTGTGGTAGATATATTAGTATTTATTAAGTGTTTTTAGGATATATTCGTCTTCTTTATAATTAGAATGTATTTGGTTGGGATATAAAAGATTGATATGTTCGAGGCTTGTTATATTTTATTTACTTAGTATTGAAATTTCTGATAGAACATCTTATTTGTTCCTCAATAATATAATTAGGGAAGTTATTAATAAGAGTTTGTTTTATACTTTTTAGTTCATTGTAGAAAATCTGTTTTGTGGATGAATTAAATTTTGCACGGTTTGTAAGGTTTTATAATGCTATTTTATAGTAATTAAGACATTCACTCTTATAGTTAAGGGCGTACAGATTTATGATTGTAGTTTTTATTTAAATGGGGAGATAGTGAATTTATTGTTATTAATGTCTATCAACACATCTAGAAAATGAATTTTATTTTTATTATTAAGTTCATATGTAAATTTAAGGACATAATTATCATGGCAGAGTCTTTGTAGTTGATGTATTTCTTCCGTATTCTTGACGAATATAAGGATATCATCGACGTATCTTAGGAAAATGGAAAGTTTTTTAAAATTGTTAAATATATTAATTTCAAGATTAGACATAGAGGAATTGCTAAAAGTCGGGCCAATATTTGTTATGAAATAATCAACACTCTGATGATGACGATGTCGAAAGTACTTGGAATGAAATAATATGTATCAACATGACGATTTTCTCTCTTCCTTTAATAATGAAACCAAAAAGATTGTCCGTGAATACGAAAGGATCCAATTAAAAATAAACAGACAAAACTTGTCTAAATTATTTAATGAAACATGTTTAAATGAAAACATACTGCCAAAATATACGTTTCCATAAAGTTCGTGTGCACTTTAAAAAAAATTATAACTTTATTTGTATTTGCGATAGAAATAATCTGTAAAAATGTTATAAAGGTTAATATACCTCGTTTTAAATATAGTTTAATGTACCTCGTTTTAAATATAGTTTAATGTACCTCGTTTTAAATAAAGTTTAATGTACCTCGTTTTAAATATAGTTATTGAATAATTCTTTACCCCAAAAGTTGCAACAATTTTTAGATAAGTAAAAAAATATTTTCTTTTTTCCAGCGTATTACCCTTTGTATTGCTAATGATGGAGGACATGTGGAAATTTAAATAAAATATAAGAGACAGCGAATGTCTATTATGTTTGATCATGAGCCGTTATAAGCTCGTACAGTTGATTTTTCGAGAGAAAACAGATAAAAACTGCTCAACATTTGTATTTCTTTTATTATGCTGTTCTTAGAGCTAGGCTAACGACGCTGATGATGGCTCATGCGAGCCGAAACCTTAGATCAAGGAACAGCATAACAAAAAATATACAAATTCGTTGTCTGTTATATTTAACAATATATATATATATATATATATATATATATATATATATATATATATATCTGTGTGCGTGTGTGTGTTTGCATAAATTAGTATGAAATATAGATCAAATGTGAATTAGAATCCAACAGAATCATAAGTTAAGGAACAAATACGAAACGTTTATAAATTTAAAATGTTTCCATGTTATTTAATCAATGGACTATTATCGAGAAAATGCACAAGATGTCTGCTTAACCGAGGAAAAACATGTAATACAAAAATAAAAATATATATATGTGTGTGTGTGTGTGTATGTATATACTAGCAGCATGGCCCAGCGTTGCCCGTGCTTGATTCAAAAATCGTACGACTCATACAGCAATCGCTATCACTTGACTTTACCGTGCTGATGTTGCTACATGCCTTACTTCTTGCCTATCTCACACTGTGAATTTTTTCTAAGCTCTATACTAAACATTAAATCTGTTACGAAAAAAGAACTAAACAAAATGGACACAAAACGATCAGCTTTAAAAAAGGACTCGTAACTGGAAAAAGCGAATGAAAAAAAATTGTTAACAACAAATACTTTTTCACACCCAACCCGGTTCTGCAAAATCAGAATCAACGTTGAGTTTAAGCAAGCGAATGAGTCAATTGGAGTAAAGTGCCACGCAGATTTAAATTTTTCCCACTTGTGACGAATGCAGCTATCGATTTATTTATTTTTTGCATGCTCTCACGCTGGCCAATAGAATCTTTCTGCCTATTCGTGGCAGCCAGCTATAGGCTCTCACTCTGGCCAGTACAAAATGGCCGCAAACTACATGAAAACTGCCGTAGAAGCATGAAAAAATCGATTATTTCCACTATCGATGGGAGTTGGGAAATGCAAAGTCGGTCTTGGCCTTCAAGCTAACTTTGAACATGTGCATGTAAATTTTGGTGCAAATCCGTCGAAAATTGCGGCCGTGCCGTGCATTCACACACACACACACACACACACACACACACACACACACACACACACACACACACACACACCTGCCTTTTCTAGATACAGATATATTGTGTATATTTAGGCAGCAATTTTTCAATGATGCATGTTTCATTAAATAATATAGACAAGTTTTGTCTATTTATTTTAAGTAAGTTCCTTTCATATTGTCTGATAAGCTTAATAACATTATCATTGAAAGACGAAAGGAAATCCCCATATTGATGCATGTTAAAATCCAATCTAAGCTTTCGACTTACATGAGCCATTATCAAAGATGATAATTACATTTCAATATATCAAACAATACACGGACGAAACTGTAATAATAGTCTGCTTTTGTTGCGGAAGTGGAAATCGCATCGCAGCTCGTGACGTCACACATGACCACGCGAGAATGAAAACGAGAAGTATTAAGTATGGGAAGACATTGGTATATATATATATATATATATATGTATGTATATACGTGTGTGTGTGTGTGTGTGTGTGTGGATGGGTGTGGAAAGAACTTATTTTTGACCTGCGTAAGAGATTTTCCCTTCATGAATTGTACACTTTAAGGTTTCATTGGTCTCTATGCAACCGATTCTGAGAAAATTCTAATTCAATATAACATATGGCTGGATAATTTCCAGACAGATTCTCCATAGTTTGATGACCAGGGAAATGTTTTGTTTACACTCTGGCCAGAAATAAAAATATTAATAAGCGAGAAAATTTTTCAACAGTAAAGAATCAAGTTTAAAACGATTGTACAAAGAAAAGATGTCCCATTTTTTAACCGAATTTTTTTTTACCTGGTAGTACTCGGGACGCTCCATCAAAACGATCCTTCAGAAGGTCCCCTACTCGTCGGAAGCTGGGAAGTTTCATCCAACATGTCTGTATTTGGCAACTCCCTGACATTCCGTGGCATTTACATGCCTGTGTCATTTGTGTTGTCACATGCTGGAAATACAAAATAGATAAGATTAGTTCAATAGCTCATAAATGTTTTTCGAGTTACGGATCTCCTTTAGTCACGGACTCCTATAAGAACTAGCCCTTTATAGAAAGACCAGCAGATATTCACAGTCTGATTGTTTTTTTTTTTCAAAACAAATGTACGTACATTTCCCCATACTGCAGCCTCATGCACACTACACGCACATGACTTTTCAGCCAGCCACGCCATAAAGAAATTATGGTCAATTAAGCCTGACCAGTATATGAAAAGATATTTTTATAATCATTTCACCCCAAGTAAGTCAGCAGTGCCACTAGTATGCAGGAGGTTACAGAGAGTGAAAGTGAGGGTAAAGATTCTATATAGGGGATTTAAGGAAAGGATAAAAGATGAACGGGGTTCAAATCAACAAAATATGGCAATTGACATTGCATTTAAATTTTTGAAGTGAAGCAAGTAAGCGGAAGGGAGTTCCACTGTCTGGAAGTGCAAGAAAAAACTGTTGGAGTGGAAATGGCGGTTACCTTTAACAATTTCAACAGTAAAAGTGAAATGTCAATCTAGCAGCACGTTTGAATTCATGTAGTCGGGGAGCCAGGGAAAAAAGTTGCCTTAAAATATTTGCAGAAAAGACAGAGGGAAGACAGGACACGTCTGTGAGAATGTGACTGAAGTCGAGGTGCCAAGTCAGGATCGATTACAGTGCAGAACCTTCTTTGAATTTTGTCAAGAACCACATGATGGATAGCAGGAACACCAGATATGGCGACAGTATTGATTGCATGAATGGTAGATTTGTAAATGTGCAAGATGGACTCTGATAAGAAAAATCTTCTGGCACGGCACAGTGAAACAACTTTCCTTGCAACTGATGCAGATGTTGATTCAATTTAGTTGTTCCACTTCAAGCCAGTTGAAAACGTGAAGCCAAGAAGGCACAGTAAGACCCTCTCCTGGAGTTGAGCATCAGCCATGATAATGACGGGCAGGGAAGTTTCTCTATGGTGATTAAATAAGAGCAGTTTAGTTTAGGAGGCATTAAAATTCACAAGCCATGTCCTGCCCCAGTTAACCACTGATTGGGTGTCGTTTTCAAGAGCAGCGGTCAGGTTAATTTTGTCAGCTCTGATGGATTTGCTACTGAGCCATGAGTAAATGATAGTGTCATCTGCATAAATGCCCACAGGAAGATCTTTGATGAAGATTAGGAAAAGCGTATAGAGGTTTGAGGGACACTTGCGTTCGTGTGAAAGGATCTGGAAGCGTGACCGTTCAGAATGACCTTCATTTCACCATTTGATACAAATAATTGGATTGGATCAAACAATCGTCTTGGAATACCGTAGCCCTGAAGCTTACGTAGAAGACCAGCTTGTTAATCCCTGTCAAATATCTTTGAGATATCTAGAGACACAGGTCGGGCTTCGCCGCTATTATCAAAACCTTGATATACATATTCAGTAAGCACATGAACGGTAGGTCGGTAAAACGGAAGCCATATTGATTGTCAGAGAATAGGTCGCGAGAGGTAAGATGCTTAACCACTTCAGCATTGAGTAAAGTCTCAAATACTTTGCTGAAAAGCGGTAGGAGACTAATACGGCAGTAGTTAGAGGGACCAGAAGGTTCTCCAGAGTTCTTAACATGGACTACAGAGGAGGACTTCCAACAAGTTGGAAAGAAGGATGCAGTGATGCAATAGTTGTAGAGTTTGGAGAGAACTGGGACCAGCTCGGGAGCATATTTCTTTAGGGCGAAGACTGGGATCCTGTTGCAGTAACGGTTCTTTTTTTAATTATTCTAGTGGGTATTGAGTGGAAATAATTGTGGATCCGAATGCAGGTTTCTGGCTATTTATAGTGTTCTTAGTTAACTTTATTATTATTATTATTGATTATTTTATTGTTGGTTGTTATTACTACGTTTTCTTGTGTTTATGTTTGAGTTCATGGTTTGTTAAAATGGTCTCTTATTTACTAATTTATTTGTTTGGATGCATTTATTTTATTTTTTTTGCTTATTTTATTTTATTTATTTACTTTCGTTTAATCTTATTCGTTTTCAGCTTGTGATTTTTAAGTAATGTAGTAAAAAATTGTTTTCGAGTCTGTATTTTTTCTGATCGTTTATTTAGTTGTTTGTTTTAGCTTGTGAAGGTAATTATAAATTTTTGGCCTTATGGCTGGGATCAATATCTCGGTCGGATAAATTACATTTCATCTCTCAGTTGTGTCTCTGTCTTCGGACAGAACGCAACTGAATATTTTATTGGGAGGTGCTCGGTGTTAAGATACAGCAGCCCGCGGCAGTACCTCCTTTCATTGCACTAGAGGCGGGGATCGGTAGTAATACATACGAAGGGAGGGACGAGCACAATTAATATATGGTGAATGCAGGTCATTATTTAAAGAAGTAAAGGGGTACAAAAGATATGAAATTGACATGTTTTTTTCCATTTCACTGGAGCCCACGTTAAACACGAGAGGATTATCACCTCCTTTCATTCATTCAATCAATCATTCGTTCATTTATATTTTTTCTTTTTTTATTCCTCTAAAATCAGAGTTTGTGATATATCTTTCCTTCCGTTTTGTGGTCAAGGGACAGTGCTCTTATAGAAACAGGAATGGTCAATTATTTATTGGAGGTAATGGCACGGCTTAACTTACATGTCAACTAAAGAACGAACGAACAAGCATTATAATAATGATAATTACAAGACAGGGAGCCATACCCCGTCATTGTCAAAAAAAAAAAAAAAATGTCAAATAACAAATATTGCTGAAAGAAATCAGTCGGCTCTGAATCCGAACTTGGAGACCCGAGATCGAATACCAGCTACATTTACTTACGTGCAAAACCAATTGAGAAAGATATGAAGTCTCGTCTTCCTCCAGTTATAGGTTAACCAGGACAAACTAGATAGACTCGATAATATCACCCACCTCCCACGAAGCCTTGGCCATTCGTGGGAGACAATCGTGGGGAAGGCTTAGCGCATGAAAATGCACAATGATTGAAATTCTTCAGTCGTGTGAGATGCGGGGAAAGATTTTTTTTTATTTTTTGAAACAAAAACTGAAAATCAACAACATTATTGAAATGTTCTGGAATCGTCTTGCATACCAAAATAAAGGAATAGTCAAGCTGAATGGAATTCTTCAAATTATTAAAGAAACGGCGATTGATTCACGGAACACAATAATCGTACAGTATAGGTATGAATTCTCTTCTTCCCTCCCCCAGCTATGTGTAACTAGCAGAGTTCTATATCCTTGGATAGCAACTGGTCTATCGCAGAAAGAATTGGCAAGCTATTGCGGGAAAAATCTGCCCCGTCAATCATGTATCGAAAGATACATGATCGCTTAAGCGTGAATCACGCATGACACATAACTGAATGATAGAAAAAAATAAAATATGCACCCCACTTCCTCGCCCGTCCAAAACAAACAAAAACGAAATACCAAAAATATGCCACTTTGACGTGGTGTAATGGTTAGCAGGCTTGTCTTGCTAGATTAATTACGACTGAGTAGTGAGTTCGATCCTCACTGGCTGCTCCCATACTTTCGGCGCTGTGCCACATCTAAGCCTGGCTTAGTAGTCACTAAGACAGATTCTTCTAATCAAATTCAGTATATTTCGAGTGTCCCAAAAATGTATTCACTTTTTCACTTCGTCGTTAGTCTGAATATTTATAGACATGAGTTCAATTTAATTTAAACCGTTAATCATCTTTGTTAGTCGATAAACTTTAATATATCTTAATTTTAATCATTAACCTTATTTGCAAGTCAATAAACACTGCATTTATTTTTATTTAAAAAGGCAGTACATTTTTGGGTCATATATATATATATATATATATATATATATATATATATATATATACACATACACGCACGCACACACATATAGATATATATATATATATATACATATATATATATATATATATATACACACACACACAAGCATACATATATATACATATATATCGACGATTAATAAAACGTTTCATCGGGTAGTTAACAATGATGGTAATAAACGATCTCATTTAAAATTGCTATTTATGAAACATCACTTCACTTCCCGTTTTTGGAAAGTTTTCCATACAAGGTAAAAATGATTATAATAAAGAAAAGGGTTAAAAATATATGAAATCAACAAAAGGAAGAGGAAAGAAAAGAAAGGCAAAAGAAAGCATAAGAAATTAACCTTACTGCCAAAAGAAAAGAAAGGCAAAAGAAAGCATAAGAAATTAACCTTACTGCCAAGAGAATAGAAAGAAAAGAAAGGCAAAAGAAAGCATAAGAAATTAACCTTACTGCCAAAAGAAAAGAAAGAAAAGAAAGGCAAAAGAAAGCATAAGAAATTAACCTTACTGCCAAAAGAAAAGAAAGAAAAGAAAGGCAAAAGAAAGCATAAGAAATTAACCTTACTGCCAAAAGAAAAGAAAGGCAAAAGAAAGCATAAGAAATTAACCTTACTGCAAAAAGAAAAGAAAGGCAAAAGAAAGCATAAGAAATTAACCTTACTGCCAAGAGAATAGAAAGAAAAGAAAGGCAAAAGAAAGCATAAGAAATTAACCTTACTGCCAAAAGAAAAGAAAGAAAAGAAAGGCAAAAGAAAGCATAAGAAATTAACCTTACTGCCAAAAGAAAAGAAAGGCAAAAGAAAGCATAAGAAATTAACCTTACTGCCAAGAGAATAGAAAGAAAAGAAAGGCAAAAGAAAGCATAAGAAATTAACCTACTGCCAAAAAGAAAAGAAAGAAAAGAAAGGCAAAAAGAAAGCATAAGAAATTAACCTTTACTGCCAAAAAAGAAAGAAAGAAAAGAAAGGCAAAAGAAAGCATAAGAAATTAACCTACTGCCAAAAAAGAAAAGAAAGAAAAGAAAGGCAAAAGAAAGCATAAGAAATTAACCTTACTGCCAAAAGAAAAGAAAGGCAAAAGAAAGCATAAGAAATTAACCTTACTGCCAAGAGAATAGAAAGAAAAGAAAGGCAAAAGAAAGCATAAGAAATTAACCTTACTGCCAAAAGAAAAGAAAGAAAAGAAAGGCAAAAGAAAGCACGAGAAATTAACGTTACTGCCAAAAGAAAAGAAAGGCAAAAGAAAGCATAAGAAATTAACCTTACTGCCAAGAGAAAAAGAAAGAAAAGAAAGGAAAAGAAAGCATAAGAAATTAACCTTACTGCCAAAAAGAAAAAGAAAGGCAAAAGAAAGCATAAGAAATTAACCTTACTGCCAAGAGAATAGAAAGAAAAGAAAGGCAAAAGAAAGTATAAGAAATTAACCTTACTGCCAAAAGAAAGAAAGGCAAAAGAAAGCATAAGAAATTAACGTTACTGCCAAGAGAATAGAAAGAAAAAAGGCAAAAGAAAGTATAAGAAATTAACCTTACTGCCAAGAGAATAGAAAGAAAAGAAAGGCAAAAGAAAGCATAAGAAATTAACCTACTGCCAAAAAGAAAAGAAAAGAAAAAAGAAAGCAAAGAAATTAACCTTAAAGCCAAGAGAATAGAAAGAAAAGAAAGGCAAAAGAAAGCAAAGAAGAAATTAACCTTACTGCCAAAAGAAAAGAAAGGCAAAAGAAAGCATAAGAAATTAACCTTACTGCCAAGAGAATAGAAAGAAAAGAAAGGCAAAAGAAAGCATAAGAAATTAACCTTACTGCCAAAAGAAAAGAAAGGCAAAAGAAAGCATAAGAAATTAACCTTACTGCCAAGAGAATAGAAAGAAAAGAAAGGCAAAAGAAAGCATAAGAAATTACCCTTACTGCCAAAAGAAAAGAAAGAAAAGAAAGGCAAAAGAAAGCATCAGAAATTAACCTTACTGCCAAGAGAATAGAAAGAAAAGAAAGGCAAAAGAAAGCATGAGAAATTAACCTTACTGCCAAAAGAAAAGAAAGAAAAGAAAAAGAAAGAATAAGAAATTAACCTTACTGCCAAGAGAATAGAAAGAAAAGAAAGAAAAAGAAAGCATAAGAAATTAACCTACTGCCAAAAAGAAAAGAAAGAAAAGAAAGAAAAAAGAAAGCATAAGAAATTAACCTAAGTGCCAAAAGAAAAGAAAGGCAAAAGAAAGATAAGAAATTAACCTTTACTGCCAAAAAGAAAAGAAAGGCAAAAGAAAGAAAGAAATTTAGATACTGCAAGAAGAATAGAAAGAAAAGAAAGGCAAAGAAAGCATGAAAATTAACCTTACTGCCGAAAGAAAAGAAAAGAAAGAAAAGGCAAAAGAAAGCATTAGAAATTAACCTACTGCCAAAAGAAAAGAAAGGCAAAAAGAAAGCATGAGAAATTAACCTAAAGCCAAGAGAATAGAAAGAAAAGAAAGGCAAAAGAAAATAAGAAATTAACCTACTGCCCAGAGAATTGAAAGAAAAGAAAGGCAAAAAAAAAGCAAAGAAATTAAACTGCAAAAAAAGAAAAGAAAGAAAGAAAGGCAAAGAAATTATTAACCTTACTGCCAAAAGAAAAAGAAAGGCAAAAAGAAAGAATAAGAAATTAACCTTACTGCCAAGAAATAGAAAAGAAAGGCAAAAGAAAGCAAAGAAATTAACCTTACTGCCAAAAGAAAAGAAAGAAAAGAAAAGCAAAAAGAAAAGAAGGCAAAAGAAATTAACCTTAGGCCAAAAAGAAAAGAAAGAAAAGAAAGGCAAAAAAGAATAAGAAATTAACCTTACTGCCAAAAATAGAAAAGAAAGGCAAAAGAAAGCATGAGAAATTAAAGAAAGAAAAGAAAATAGAAAGAAAAAAAAAGAAAGAATAAGAAATTAACCTTTACTGCCAAAAGAAAAGAAAGAAAAGAAAGGAAAAGAAAGGCAAAAGAAAGCATAAGAAATTAACCTCACTGCCAAAAGAAAAGAAAAAAAAAGAAAGGCAAAAGAAAAGCATAAGAAATTAAAAAAGAAAAAAAAGAAAAGAAAGGCAAAAGAAAGGCAAAAGAAAGAAAATTAACTTTACTGCCAAGAGAATAGAAAGAAAAGAAAGGCAAAAGAAAGCAAAAAATTAACCTTTACTGCCAAAAAGAAAAGAAAGGCAAAAAAAGCAAAAGAAAGAAAGAAAGAAACTAAAAAAAGAAAAGAAAGGCAAAAGAAAAGAAAGAAATTAACTTACTGCCAAGAGAATAGAAAGAAAAGAAAGGCAAAAGAAAGCAAAGAAATTAACCTTAGAAAAGAACAAAGAAAGAAAAGAAAGGCAAAAAGAAAGAAAGAAATTAACCTTACTGCCAAGAAAATAGAAAGAAAAGAAAGGCAAAAGAAAGTATAAGAAATTAACCTTACTGCCAAAAGAAAAGAAAGAAAGAAAGGCAAAAAGAAAGCATAAGAAATTAACCAACATCCAAAAAGAAAAGAAAAAAAAGAAAGGGCAAAAAAGAAAGAAATTAACCTTACTGCCAAAAGAATAGAAAAAAAGAAAAGCAAAAGAAAGCATAAGAAATTAAAAGAAACTGGAAAAAGAAAAGAAAGAAAAGAAAGGCAAAAGAAAGCATAAGAAATTAACCTTACTGCCAAGAAAAGAAAGAAAAAAAGAAAGGCAAAAGAAAGCATTAGAAATTAACCTTACTGCCAAAAGAAAAAAGAAAGAAAAGAAAAGGCAAAAGAAAGTGATAAGAAATTAACCTTACTGCCAAAAATAGAAAAGAAAGGCAAAGAAAGAAAGAAAGAAAGAAACTTAGAAAAAAGAAAAAAAAGAAAAGCAAAGAAAGCTGTAAGAAATTAACCTTAAAAAAGAAAAGAAAGAAAAAAGAAAGGCAAAAGAAAAGCATAAGAAATTAACCTTACTGCCAAAAAAAAAAGAAAAGAAAGGCAAAAGAAAGAAAGAAAGAAAGGGCCAAAAAGAAAAGAAAGAAAGAAAAATGAAATTAACCTTAGAAAGCAAAGAATAAAAAGAAACAGAAAAGAAAAAAGAAAGAAATTAAAGAAAAAAGAAAAAGAAAAGAAAGGCAAAAGAAAGCATAAGAAATTAACCTTACTGCCAAAAGAAAAGAAAGAAAGAAAGGCAAAAGAAAGCATAAGAAATTAACCTTACTGCCAAAAGAAAGAAAGAAAAAAGAAAGAAATTAACCTTACTGCAAAGAAAGAAAGAAGAAATTAACCTTACTGCCAAAAGAAAGAAAAAGAAAAGAAAGGCAAAAAGAAAGCATAAGAAATTAAGAAAGAAAAGAAAAGAAAAGAAAAGAAAAGAAAAGGCAAAAGAAAGAATGAAAATTAAAGAAAAGAAAGAAAGAAAAGAAAGAAAAGAAAGGCAAAAGAAAGCATAAGAAATTAACCTTACTGCCAAAAAAAGAAAAAAGAAAAAAAGAAAGGCAAAAGAAAAGCATGAGAAATTAACCTTACGCCAAAAAAAGAAAGAAAGAAAGGCAAAAAGAAAGAAAAAGAAAACCCTTACGGCCAAGAAAGGCAAAAGAAAGAAAAGAAATTAGAAAAGAAAGCAAAAAAAAGAAATAAGAAATTAAAGACAGCCAAGAAAGAAAAGAAAGAAAGAAAGAAAAAAGAAAGAAAGAAATTAACCTTACATCAAAAAGAAAGAAAGAAAAGAAAGGCAAAAGAAAGATAAGAAATTAAACTTACTGCCAAAAGAAAAGAAAGAAAAGAAAGGCAAAAGAAAGATGAGAAATTAACCTTACTGAAAAAAAAGAAAAGAAAGAAAAAAGAAAGCAAGAAAGAAAGAAAAGAGGACATGAAAGCAAAAGAAAAGAAAAGAAAGAAAGGCAAAAAAAAGAAAAGAAATTAACCTTACTGCCAAAAGAAAAGAAAAGAAAAGAAAGAAAAGAAAAGAAAAGAAATTAAAAGAAAAGAAAAAAGAAAGCAAAAAAAGAAAGTATTAAAATTGAAAAGAAAGGCAAAAGAAAGCCAAAAGAATAGAAAGAAAAAGAAAGGCAAAAGAAAGCATAAGAAATTAACCTTTACTGCCAAAAGAAAAGAAAGAAAAGAAAGGCAAAAAGAAAGAAAGAAATTAAAGCCCAAGAAGAAAAAAGAAATTAAAGAAAGCATGAGAAATTAAAAAAAAGAAAGAAAAAGAAAGGCAAAAGAAAGGCAAAAGAAAAGAAAGAATGAGAAATTAACCTTACTGCCAAAAGAAAAGAAAGAAAAAAGAAAGAAAGAAAAAAGAAAGCAAAAGAAATTAACCTTACTGCCAAAAAATGAAAAGAAAGAAAAGAAAGGCAAAAGAAAGCATAAGAAATTAACCTTACTGCCAAAAAGAAAAGAAAGAAAAGAAAGGCAAAAGAAAGCAAAGAAATTAAAAGAAAAGAGAAAAGAAAGAAAAGAAAGGCAAAAAAAAAGCATAAGAAATTAAGAAAGCCAAGAGAAAGAAAAGAAAGAAAGGCAAAAGAAAGAAAAGAAATTAACCTTACTGCCAAAAGAAAAGAAAGAAAAGAAAGGCAAAAGAAAGAAAGAAAGAAATTAACCTTACTGCCAAGAAAAAAGAAAGAAAAGAAAGGCAAAAGAAAGAAAGAAAGAAAGAAAAGAAAAGAAAAAGAAAAAAAAGAAAAAAGAGAAAAAGAAAGAAAGAGAAAAAGAAAGAAAAGAAAGGCAAAAAAAGCATAAGAAATTAACCTTACTGCCAAAAAGAAAAGAAAGAAAGAAAGGCAAAAGAAAGAAAAGAAAGAAAGAAAGACTGCCAGAAAGAAAAGAAAGAAAAAAGAAAGGCAAGAAATTAACCTTACTGCAAAGAGAAAAGAAAGAAAAAAAAGGAAAGAAAAAAGCAAGAAAGAAATTAACCTTACTGCCAAAAAAAGAAAGAAAAAGAAAGAAAGAAAAGAAAGCATAAGAAATTAAAAGATACAAAAAGAAGAAAGAAAAGAAAGGCAAAAGAAAGAAATAAGAAATTAGAAAAGAAAAAAAGAAAAGAAAGGCAAAAGAAAGGTAAGAAATTAAAAAGAACTGAAAGAAATAGAAAGAAAAGCAAAAAGAAAGAAAGAAAGAAAGAAAAAAGAAAAAGAAAAAGAAAGAAAATTGAAAGAAAGCATAAGAAATTAAAGACTGCCAAGAAAAAAGAAAGAAAGAAAGAAAAGAAAGATAAGAAATTAACCTTACTGCCAAAAGAAAAGAAAGAAAAGAAAGGCAAAAGAAAGAAAGAAATTAAAGAAAGAAAAAAGAAAAGAAAGGCAAAAATAAAGAATAAGAAATTAAAGAAAGAAAGAAAAAGAAAAAGAAAGGAAAAAGAAAGCATAAGAAATTAACCTTACTGCCAAGAGAAAAGAAAGAAAAGAAAGGCAAAAAGAAAGCATAAGAAATTAACCTTACTGCCAAAAAAAAAGAAAAAGAAAGGCAAAAGAAAGAATAAGAAATTAACCTTAAAGAAAAAGAAAAAGAAAGAAAAAAGAAAAGCATGAAGAATTAACTCAAAGAAAAAAGAATAGAAAGAAAAGAAAGGCAAAAAGAAAGCAGAAGAAATTAACCTTAAAGCAAAAAAAAAAGAAAGAAAAAAGAAAGGCAAAAGAAAGAAAGAAATTAACTTTTAAGCCAAAAAAGAAAAGAAAAAGAAAGGCAAAAATAAATAAAAGAAAAAGAAAGAAAGAATAAAAGAAAAGAAAAAAGAAAGGCAAAAAAGAAACATAAGAAATTAACCTTCTGCAAAAGAAAGCAAAAAGAAGAAAAAAAAAAAAAAGAAAGGCAAAAGAAAGAAAAAATTAACCTTTACTGCCAAAATGAAAAGAAAGAAAAGAAAGAAAAGAAAGAAAGAAATTAAGAACTGCCAAAAAAGAAAAGAAAGAAAAGAAAAAAAAGAAAGGATGAGAAATTAAATGAAAAAAAAAAGAGAATAAAGAAAGAAAAGAAAGGCAAAAGAAAGATAAGAAATTAAAGCCAAAAAAGAAAGGAAAAAAAAGAAAGGAAAAAAAAAGACTGAAAGAAATAACTTAGGCAAAAAAAAAGAAAAAAGAAAAGAAAGAAAAGAAAGAAAGAGAAATTAATTATTGCCAAAAAAAAGAAAGAAAAGAAAGAAAAAAAGAAAGAAAATAAGAAAAGAAAAGATGAGAAAGAGAAAAGAAAAGAAAAGAAAGGAAAAAGAAAGAAAGAAGAAATTAACCTTACTGCCCAAAGAAAAAGAAAGAAAAGAAAGAAAAAAGAAGGCATAAGAAATTGGTAACTTTACTGCCAAAAAGAAAAGAAAGAAAAGAAAAAAAAGAAAGAAAGAAAGAAAAGAAAGAAAGAAAAGAAAGGCAAAAGAAAGCATAAGAAATTAACTTTAATGAAAAAAAAATAAAGAAAAGAAAGAGAAAAGAAAGAAAGAAATTAACCTACTGCCAAAAGAAAAGAAAGAAAAGAAAGGCAAAAGAAAGCAAAAAATTAACCTTTGCCAAGAAAGAAAGAAAAGAAAAAGAAAGAAAGAAAGAAAAATTAAAGGAATTGAAAAAGAATGCAAAAAAAAGGCAAAAAAGAAAGAAATTAAAGAATTGCCAAAAGAAAAGAAAGAAAAGAAAGGCAAAAAGAAATGTTAAGAAATTAAACTGCCAAAAAGAAAGAAAGAAAGAAAGGCAAAAGAAAGAAAGAAATTAACCTTACTGCCAAAAAGAAAAGAAAGAAAAGAAAGGCAAAAAGAAAATTTATAAGAAATTAACCTACCTTTTGTGAAAAAAAAGAAAAGAAAGGCAAAAAAGAAAGCATAAGAAATTAACCTTACTTTAAAAAGAAAAGAAAGGCAAAGAAAGAAAAGAAAGAAAAGAAAGAAACCTTACTGCCAAAAAGAAAAGAAAGAAAAGAAAATATATTAAAAAAAGAAAGAAAATTAAGAAACTGAAAAAAGAAAAGAAAGAAAAGAAAAGGTCAAGAAAGCATAAGAAATTAACTTTACTGCCAAAGAAAAGAAAAGAAAAAAGAAAGAAAAAAAGAAAGCAAAAGAAAGCATCCAAAAATTAAGAAACAAAGAGGCAAAAAGAAAGAAAAGAAATTAAAAGAAAGAGAAAAAAGAAAAGAAAGGAAAAGAAAAAGATAAGAAATTAACCTACTGGCCAAGAGGAAAAGAAAGAAAGGGCAAAAGAAAGATAAGAAATTAAAAGAAAAGAAAAGAAAGAAAGAAAGGCAAAAGAAAGCTAAGAAATTAAAATTACTGAAAAAGAAAAAAGAAAGAAAGAAAAGAAAAAGAAAAGAAAGAAAGAAATTAACCTAAAGAAAAAAAAAAAAGAAAGAAAGAAAAAGGAAAGAAAAAGAAATTAACCTTAAAAAAGAAAGAAAAAGAAAAAAGAAAGAAAAGAAAAGAAAAGAAAAGCATAAGAAATTAACCTTTACTGCCAAAAAGAAAAGAAAGAAAAGAAAAAAAGAAAGCATAAGAAATTAACTTACTGCCAAGAGAAAAAGAAAAGAAAGAAAAAAAAAGAAAGAAATTAACCTTAAGCCAAAAGAAAAAAGAAAGAAAAAAAGAAAAAGAAAGAAAGAAATTAACCTTACTGAAAAGAAAAAATAAAGAAAAAAGGCAAAAAAGAAAGTTAAAAGAAAAGAAAGAAAGAAAGAAAAGAAAAAAGAAAAGAAAGAAAAGAAAGAAAGAAAAGAAATTAACCTTACTGCCAAAAGAAAAGAAAGAAAAGAAAGGCAAAAGAAAGAAAGAAATTAACCTTTTTGCCAAAAGAAAAAAGAAAAGAAAGGCAAAAGAAAGAAAGAAATTAAAGAAAGAAAAAAAGAAAGAAAGAAAAAAAGAAAATAAGAAAGGCAAAAGAAAGAAAAGAAAAAAAGAAAAAAAAGAAAGAAAAAGAAAGAAAGGAAAAAAGAAAGAAAGAAAGAAAGAAATTAAAGACTGCCAAAAGAAAAGAAAGAAAAAAAAGAAAAGAAAGAAAGAAAAAAAAGAAAAGAGAAAAGAAAGAAAAGAAAGGCAAAAGAAAAAATAAGAAATTAACCTAAGAAAAAAGAAAGAAAGAAAGAAAAGAAAGAAAGAAAGAAAGAAAGAAAGAAAAGAAAGAAAAGAAAGGCAAAAAAAAGACAAAAATTAAAAGAAGGCAAAGAAAGAAAGAAGCTGAGAAATTAAGAAAGCCAAAAGAAAGAAAGAAAGAAAGAAAGAAAAAAGAAGCATAAGAAATTAACCTTTTTGCCAAAAGAAAAGAAAAGGAAGAAAAAAAGAAAGAAAGAAATTAACCTTAATAAAGAAAAAAGAAAGAAAGGCAAAGAAAGAAAGAAATTAACCTTAAAGCCAAGAGAAAAAAGAAAGAAAAGAAAGGCAAAAAGAAAGCAAGAAATTAACCTTACTGCCAAAAAAAAAAGAAAGAAAGAAAGGCAAAAAGAAAGAAAAGAAATTAAAGAGAGAAAAAAAGAAAAAAAAGAAAGAAAGAAAAAAGAAAGAAAGAAAAAAAGAAAAGAAAGAAAAAAAAGAAAGAAAAGAAAAGAAAGAAAGAAAAGAAAGAAAAGAAAGGCAAAAAAAAAGCAAAGAAATTAAAGAAAGAAAAGAAAAGAAAGAAAAAAGGCAAAAGAAAGAAATAAGAAAAGAAAAAAGAAAAGAAAGAAAAGAAAGAAAAAAAAGAAAGAAAGAAAGCAAGAAAAAAAGAAAAGAAAGAAAAGAAAAGAAAGAAATTAACCTGTCTGAAAAAAAGAAAAAAAAGAAAAGAAAGAAAAAAGAAAGAAAAAAGAAAGAAAAAAAAAAAGAAAAGAAAAAGAAAGCATAAGAAATTAACCTTAAAAAGGCAAGAAAAAAGAAAGAAAAAAAAAAGAAAGAAAGAAAGAAAAATTAAAAAAAAGAAAGGTTTTAGAAAAGAAAGAAAGAAAAGAAAAGAAAGAAAGAAAGAAATTAAAGAAATTAAAAACTGCCAAAAGAAAAGAAAGAAAAGAAAAGAAAAAAGAAAGAAAAAGAAGAAAGAAAAAAAGAAAAGAAAGGCAAAAAGAAAAAAAGAAATTAACCTGAAGTTTTAAGAAAGAAAAAAGAAAGAAAGAAAAGGCAAAAAAGAAAGAAAAAGAAATTAAAAAACTGCCAAAAGAAAAGAAAGAAAAGAAAAAGAAAAAAGAAAGCAAAGAAATTAAGAAAGAAAGCCAAAAGAAAGAAAGAAAAGAAAGGCAAAAGAAAGATAAGAAATTAACCTTACTGCCAAAAGAAAAGAAAGAAAAGAAAGGCAAAAGAAAGAAAAAGAAATTAACCTTACTGCCAAAAGAAAGAAAGAAAAGAAAGAAAAGAAAAGGAAACGAAAGAAAAGAAAAAAAAGAAAGCAAAAGAAATTAAGAAATTAAAACTGCCAAAAGAAAAAAGAAAGAAAAAAGAAAGGCAAAAGAAAGCATAAGAAATTAACAACACTGCCAAAAAAAAAAGAAAGAAAAAAAAAGAAAAGGCAGCAGAAAAGAAAGAAAGAAAGAAAGAAAAAAAGAAAAAGAAAGAAAAGAAAGGCAAAAGAAAGAAAAGAAAAAGAATAAAGAAAGAAAAGAAAGGCAAAAAGAAAGCATAAGAAATTAACTTTACTGCCAAAAGAAAAGAAAGAAAAGAAAGGCAAAAAGAAAGAAAGAAATTAACCTTACTGCCAAAAAGAAAAGAAAAAAAAGAAAAAGAAATTAAGAAAAACTGCCAAAAGAAAGAAAAAAAAGAAAAGAAAAGAAAGAAAGAAAGAAACTGCTAAAAAGAAAAGAAAGAAAAGAAAAGGCAAAAGAAAGAAAGAAATTAACCTACTGCCAAAAGAAAGAAAAAAAGAAAGGCAAAAGAAAGCATAAGAAATTAACCTTACTGCCAAAAAAAAAGAAAAAAGAAAGGCAAAAGAAAGATAAGAAAGAAAAGCATAAGAAAAAAGAAAAGAAAGGCAAAAGAAAGAAAAAAGAAAAAACTGAAAAAAGAAAGAAAGAAAAGAAAGGCAAAAGAAAGCATAAGAAATTAACCTACTGCCAAAAGAAAAGAAAGAAAAGAAAGGCAAAAGAAAGCATAAGAAATTAACCTTACTGCCAAAAGAAAAAGAAAGAAAAAGGCAAAAAAGAAAGCATAAGAAATTAACTTTTGCCAAAAGAAAAAGAAAGAAAAGAAAGGCAAAAAGAAAGCATAAGAAATTAACCTTACTGCCAAAAGAAAAAAGAAAGAAAAGAAAAAGAAAGCAAAGAAATTATCCTACTAAGAGAATAAAAAGAAAAGAAAGGCAAAAGAAAGCAAAGAAATTAACCTTAAAGCCAAAAGAAAAGAAAGAAAAGAAAGGCAAAAGAAAGCATAAGAAATTAACCTTACTGCCAAAAGAAAAGAAAAGAAAGAAAAAAGAAAGAAAGAAATTAAAGAAAAAAAAAAAAAAGAAAAGAAAGGAAAAAGAAAGCATAAGAAATTAACCTTACTACCAAAAAAGAAAAGAAAAAAAGAAAGGCAAAAGAAAGCATAAGAAATTAACCTACTGCCAAAAAAGAAAAAGAAAGGCAAAAGAAAGAAAAGAAATTAACCTGAAAGAAAGAGAAAGAAAGAAAAGAAAGGCAAAAAGAAAGCATAAGAAATTAACCTTACTGCCAAAAAGAAAGAAAGAAAGAAAAAAGGCAAAAGAAAGAAAAAGAAATTAACCTTACTGCCAAAAGAAAAGAAAGAAAAGAAAGGCAAAAGAAAGATAAGAAATTAAAAAAGAAAGAAAAAAGAAAAGAAAGAAAAACCTTTACTGAAAGGCAAAAGAAAGAAAAGAAATTAAAGAAAAGAAAAGAAAGAAAAGAAAGGCAAAAAAAAAGCATAAGAAATTAACTATACTGCCAAAAAAGAAAAGAAAAGAAAAGAAAGGCAAAAGAAAGCATAAGAAATTAACCTTACTGCCAAAAAAAAAGAAAGAAAAGAAAGGCAAAAGAAAGCATAAGAAATTAACCTTACTGCCAAAAAGAAAAAAAGAAAAGAAAGGCAAAAGAAAGATAAGAAATTAACCTTAGCCAAGAGAAAGAAAGAAAAGAAAGGCAAAAGAAAAGCAAAGAAATTAACCTTACTGCCAAAAGAAAAGAAAGAAAAAAAGGCAAAAGAAAGCATAAGAAATTAACCTTACTGCCAAAAGAAAAAATAAAAAAAAGAAAGGCAAAAGAAAGAAAAGAAATTAACCTTACTGCCAAAAAGAAAAAGAAAGGCAAAAGAAAGCATAAGAAATTAACTGACTGCCAAAGAAAAAGAAAGAAAAGAAAAGAAAAAAGAAAGAAATTAACCTTACTGCCAAAAGAAAAAGAAAAAAGAAAAGAAAGGCAAAAGAAAGTATAAGAAATTAACCTTACTGCCAAAAGAAAAGAAAGAAAAGAAAGGCAAAAGAAAGCATAAGAAATTAACCTTACTGAAAAGGAAGGCAAAAAGAAAGAAAGAAATTAACTCAAAGAAAAAAGAAAGAAAAAAAAGAAAAGCAAAAAAAAAGCATAAGAAATTAAACTTACTGCCAAAAAAAAAGAAAGAAAGAAAAAAAAAGCATAAGAAAGAAAGAAACTAAGAAAGAAAAAGAAAAGAAAGGCAAAAAGATAAAAGAAAGAAAAAAGAAAGGGCAAAAAGAAAGCATAAGAAATTAACTCTTACTGCAAAAGAATAAAAAAAGAAAGAAAGAAAGAAAGAAAGAAAGAAAGGAAAAAAAAAAAAGCAAAAGAAATTAAGAAAATTTACCGAAGAAAAAAGAAAAAAGAAAAGAAAGAAAAAAGAAAAGAAAGATAAGAAATTAACTGTTTACTGCCAAAAAGAAAAGAAAGAAAAAAAAGGCAAAAGAAAATAAAATTAACCTTACTGCCAAGAGAAAAAGAAGAAAAGAAAGGCAAAAGAAAGCATAAGAAATTAACCTACTGCCAAAAGAAAAGAAAGAAAAGAAAGGCAAAAGAAAGCATAAGAAATTAAAAAAAGCCAAAAGAAAAGAAAGAAAAGAAAGGCAAAAAAAGTATAAAAATTAACCTTACTGCCAAAAGAAAAGAAAGAAAAAAAGGCAAAAGAAAGCATAAGAAATTAACCTTACTGCCAAAAAGAAAAGAAAGAAAAAAGAAAGGCAAAAGAAAGCATAAGAAATTAACCTTACTGCCAAAAGAAAAGAAAAGGCAAAAGAAAGCATAAGAAATAACCTTACTGCCAAAAAAAAAGAAAGAAAAGAAAAGAAAGCAAAAGAAAGAAAGAAAAAGAAAGGCAAAAGAAAAGAAAGGAAAAGAAAGAAAGAAATTAACTCACTGCCAAAGAAAGAAAGAAAGAAAGAAAAAAGGCAAAAGAAAGAAAAGAAATTAACTTTACTGCCAAAATGAAAAGAAAAGAAAAGAAAGAAAAGAAAGAAAGAAATTAACCTTACTGCCAAAAGAAAAGAAAAGAAAAGAAAGGCAAAAGAAAGCATGAGAAATTAAAGAAACGAAAGCAAGAAAAAAGAAAGAAAAGAAAAGAAAAAAGAAAGGATAAGAAATTAACCTTTAGGCCAAAAAAAAGAAAGAAAAAAAAGGCAAAAAAAAGCATGAGAAATTAACCTTACTGCCAAAAAGAAAAGAAAGAAAAAGAAAGGCAAAAAAAAAGCATAAGAAATTAACCTTACTGCCAAAAAAAGAAAGAAAAAGAAAGGCAAAAAGTCCAATGAAAGCCAAAAGAAAAGAAAGAAAAGAAAGGAAAAAAGAAAAGAAAAAATTAACCTTTAGAGAAAGAAAAGAAAGGCAAAAGAAAGCATAAGAAATTAACCTACTGCCAAAAGAAAAAGAAAAAAAAGAAAGGCAAAAAAAGCATAAGAAATTAACCTTACAGCCAAAAAGAAAAGAAAGAAAAGAAAGGCAAAAAAAAAGCATGAAGAAATTAACCTTACTGAGAAAAGAAAAGAAAGAAAAAAGAAAGGCAAAAGAAAGCATAAGAAATTAACCTACTGCCAAGAAAAAGAGAAAGAAAGAAAAGAAAGGGCAAAAATAAACTGCCATGAGAAATTAACTTACTGCCAAAAAAAGAAAGAAAGAAAAGAAAGGCAAAAGAAAGAATAAGAAATTAACTTACTGCCAAAAAGAAAAAGAAAGGCAAAAGAAAGCATTAGAAATTAACCTTACTGCCAAGAGAAAGAAAAGAAAAGAAAGGCAAAAGAAAGCATAAGAAATTAACCTTACTGCCAAAAGAAAAGAAAGAAAAAAGAAAGGCAAAAGAAAGCATAAGAAATTAACCTTACTGCCAAAAAAGAAAAGATAGGCAAAAGAAAGCATAAGAAATTAAACTTACTGCCAAAAGAAAAGAAAGAAAAGAAAGGCAAAAGAAAGCATAAGAAATTAACTGGTTTTAAAGAAAAGAAAAGAAAGAAAAGAAAGGCAAAAAAAAAAGCATAAGAAATTAACTACTGCTCAGAGAAAAAAGAAAGAAAAGAAAGGCAAAAGAAAGCATAAGAAATTAACCTTACTGAAAAAAAGAAAAGAAAGAAAAGGAAGGCAAAAGAAAGCATAAGAAATTAAAAGCTTACTGCAAAGAGAAAAGAAAGAAAAAAAGAAAGGCAAAAGAAAGCATAAGAAATTAACCTTACTGCCAAAGAAAAGAAAAAAAAAGGCAAAAGAAAGAAAGAAATTAACCTTACTGCCAAAAAGAAAAGAAAGAAAAAGAAAGGCAAAAGAAAGCATAAGAAATTAACTTTAAAGCCAAAAGAAAAGAAAGAAAAAAGAAAAAAAAGAAAGCATAAGAAATTAACTCACTTCCAAAAAAGAAAAAAAAGGCAAAAAGAAAGAAAAGAAATTAAAGAAAGAAGAGAAAAAGAAAGAAAAGAAAGGCAAAAAAGCATAAGAAATTAACCTTTACTGCAAAAAGAAAAGAAAGAAAAGAAAGGCAAAAGAAAGCATAAGAAAAATTAACCTTACTGCAAAAAGAAAAGAAAGGCAAAAAAAAGAAAGAAATTAAAGAAAAGAAAAGAGAAAAGAAAGAAAAGAAAGGTGCAAAAAAGTTTTAAGAAAAAAACTTTACTGCCAAAAAGAAAAGAAAGAAAAAAAGAAAGGCAAAAGAAAGCATAAGAAATTAACCTTACTGCCAAGAGAAAAGAAAGAAAAGAAAGGCAAAAGAAAGCAAGAAATTAACCTTACTGCCAAAAGAAAAGAAAAGAAAAAAGAAAGATAAGAAATTAACCTTACTGCAAAAGAAAAGAAAGAAAAGAAAGGCAAAAAAAAGATAAGAAATTAACCTTACTGCCAAAAGAAAAGAAAGAAAAGAAAGGCAAAAGAAAGAAAAAGAAATTAACCTTTACTGCCAAAAAGAAAAGAAAGAAAAAAAAGGCAAAAAGAAAGTAAAGAAATTAACCTTACTGCCAAGAGAAAAGAAAGAAAAAGAAAGGCAAAAGAAAAGTAAAAGAAATTAACCTTACTGCCAAAAGAAAAAGAAAGAAAAGAAAGGCAAAAGAAAGCATAAGAAATTAACCTTACTGCCAAGAGAAAAGAAAGAAAAGAAAGGCAAAAGAAAGCATAAGAAATTAACCTTACTGCCAAAAAGAAAAAAGAAAGGCAAAAGAAAGAAAGAAAGAAAGAAACTTACTGCCAAGAGAAAAGAAAAAAAGAAAGGCAAAAGAAAGCATAAGAAATTAAAAGCCAAAAAAGAAAAGAAAGAAAAGAAAGGCAAAAGAAAGAAAGAAATTAACCTTACGGCCAAGAGAAAAGAAAGAAAAGAAAGGCAAAGAAAGCAAAAGAAAAAAACTCTTAAAGAAAAAAGAAAAGAAAGGCAAAAGAAAGCATAAGAAATTAACCTTACTGCCAAGAGAAAAGAAAGAAAAAGAAAGGCAAAAAAAAGCATAAGAAATTAACCTTACTGAAAAAAAGAAAAGAAAGAAAAGAAAAGGCAAAAGAAAGAAAGGCAAAGAAATTAACCTTACTGCCAAAAGAAAAGAAAGGCAAAAAAAAAGCATAAGAAATTAACTTACTGCCAAGAGAATAGAAAGAAAAGAAAGGCAAAAAGAAAGCAAAAGAAATTAACCTTACTGCCAAAAAGAAAAGAAAGAAAAGAAAAAAAAAGAAAGCATTAAAATTAACCTTACTGCCAAAAGAAAAGAAAGGCAGAAGAAAGCATAAGAAATTAACCTTACTGAAAAAAAAAGAAAAGAAAGGCAAAAGAAAGCATAAGAAATTAACCTTACTAAGAGAAAAGAAAGAAAAGAAAGGCAAAAGAAAGAAAGAAATTAACCTACTGCCAAAAAAAAAAAAAAGGCAAAAGAAAGCATAAGAAATTAACTTTTGTCTGCCAAAAGAAAAGAAAGAAAAAAAGGCAAAAAAGAAAGAAATTAACTTTACTGCCAAAAGAAAAGAAAAGGCAAAAAGAAAGAAGAAATTAACTTAAAGAAAAGAAAAGAAAGGCAAAAGAAAGAATAAGAAATTAACCTTACTGCCAAAAGAAAAAGAAAGGCAAAAGAAAGTATAAGAAATTAACCTTACTGCCAAAAGAAAAGAAAGGCAAAAGAAAGCATAAGAAATTAACCTTACTGCCAAAAGAAAAGAAAGAAAAGAAAGGCAAAAGAAAGCATAAGAAATTAACCTTACTGCCAAAAGAAAAGAAAGGCAAAAGAAAGCATAAGAAATTAACCTTACTGCCAAAAGAAAAGAAAGAAAAGAAAGGCAAAAGAAAGCATAAGAAATTAACCTTACTGCCAAAAAAGAAAAAAAGAAAGGCAAAAAGAAAGATAAGAAATTAACCTTACTGCCAAGAGAAAAGAAAAATAAAAGAAAGGCAAAAAAGAAAGCATAAGAAATTAACCTTACTGCCAAAAGAAAAGAAAGAAAAGAAAGGCAAAAGAAAGCATAAGAAATTAACCTTAAAAAAAAAGAGAATAGAAAGAAAAGAAAGGCAAAAAGAAAGCATAAGAAATTAACCTTACTGCCAAAAAAAAAAAGAAAGAAAAGAAAGGCAAAAGAAAGTATAAGAAATTAACCTTAAAGAAAAAGAAAAGAAAGGCAAAAGAAAGCATAAGAAATTAACTCTTACTGCCAAAAGAAAAGAAAGAAAAGAAAGGCAAAAGAAAGCATAAGAAATTAACCTTACTGCCAAAAAAGAAAAGAAAGGCAAAAGAAAGAATAAGAAATTAACTTAACTGCCAAAAGAAAAGAAAGAAAAGAAAGGCAAAAGAAAGCATAAGAAATTAACCTTACTGCCAAGAGAAAAGAAAGAAAAGAAAGGCAAAAAAGAAAGTATAAGAAATTAACCTTACTGCCAAAAATAAAAGAAAGAAAGGAAAAAGAAAGCATAAGAAATTAACCTTTACTGCCAAAAAAAAAGAAAGAAAAGAAAGGCAAAAGAAAGCATAAGAAATTAAAACTGCCAAAAAGAAAAGAAAGGCAAAAGAAAGCATAAGAAATTAACCTTACTGCCAAAAGAAAAGAAAGAAAAGAAAAGCAAAAGAAAGAAAAGCATAAGAAATAAAAACCTTACTGCCAAAAGAAAAGAAAGAAAAGAAAGGCAAAAAGAAAGCATAAAAATTAACCTACTGCCAAGAGAAAAGAAAGAAAAGAAAGGCAAAAGAAAGCATAAGAAATTAAAAAGAAAGGCCAAAAGAAAAGAAAGAAAAGAAAGGCAAAAAGAAAGTATGAGAAATTAACCTTACTGCAAAAAGAAAAAAAGGCAAAAGAAAGCATAAGAAATTAACCTACTGCCAAGAGAATAGAAAAGAAAAGAAAGGCAAAAGAAAGCATAAGAAATTAACCTTACTGCCAAAAAGAAAAGAAAAGAAAAGAAAGGCAAAAAGAAAGCATAAGAAATTAACTTTACTGCCAAAAAAAAAGAAAAGGGCAAAAGAAAGCATGAGAAATTAACCTTACTGCCAAAAGAGAATAGAAAGAAAAAGAAAGGCAAAAGAAAGCATAAGAAATTAACCTTACTGCCAAAAGAAAAGAAAGAAAAAGAAAGGCAAAAGAATGCATAAGAAATTAACCTTACTGCCAAAAGAAAAAGAAAGGCAAAAGAAAGCATAAGAAATTAACCTTACTGCCAAAGAATAAAAGAAAAGAAAAAGCAAAAGAAAGAAAGAAATTAACCTTACTGCCAAAAGAAAAAGAAAGAAAAGAAAGGCAAAAGAAAGCATAAGAAATTAACCTTTACTGCCAAAAGAAAAAAAGAAAGAAAAGAAAGGCAAAAGAAAGATAAGAAATTAACCTTTACTGCCAAAAAGAAAAGAAAGAAAAGAAAGGCAAAAGAAAGTATAAGAAATTAACCTTACTGCCAAAAAAGAAAAAAAAAAGGCAAAAAGAAAGCATAAGAAATTAACTTTACTTACGCCAAGAGAATAGAAAGAAAAGAAAGGCAAAAGAAAGCATAAGAAATTAACCTTTACTGCCAAAAGAAAAGAAAGAAAAGAAAGGCAAAAGAAAGCATAAGAAATTAACCTACTGAAAAAAGAAAAGAAAAGAAAAGAAAGGCAAAAGAAAGCAAAGAAATTAACCTTACTGCCAAGAGAATAGAAAGAAAAGAAAGGCAAAAAGAAAGCATAAGAAATTAACCTTACTGCCAAAAAGAAAAGAAAGAAAAGAAAGGCAAAAAGAAAGCATAAGAAATTAACCTTACTGCCAAAAGAAAAGAAAGGCAAAAGAAAGCATAAGAAATTAACCTTACTGCCAAAAGAAAAGAAAGAAAAGAAAGGCAAAAGAAAGCATAAGAAATTAACCTTACTGCCAAAAGAAAAGAAAGGCAAAAGAAAGTATAAATTTTTAACCTTACTGCCAAGAAAGAATAGAAAGAAAAGAAAGGCAAAAGAAAGTATAAGAAATTAACCTTACTGCCAAAAGAAAAGAAAGAAAAGAAAGGCAAAAGAAAGCATAAGAAATTAACCTTACTGCCAAAAAGAAACGAAAGAAAAGAAATTAACCTTATTGGCAAAAGAAAGAAAAGAAATTAACCTTACTGCCAAAAGAAAAGAAAGGGCAAAAGAAAGCATAAGAAATTAACCTTACTGCCAAGAGAATAGAAAAGAAAAGAAAGGCAAAAAGAAAGCATAAGAAATTAACCTACTGCCAAAAGAAAAGAAAGAAAAGAAAGGCAAAAGAAAGTATAAGAAATTAACCTTACTGCCAAAAAGAAAAGAAAGGCAAAAAAGAAAGCATAAGAAATTAACCTACTGCCAAGAGAATAGAAAGAAAAGAAAAAAAGAAAGCATAAGAAATTAACCTACTGCCAAAAGAAAAGAAAGAAAAGAAAGGCAAAAAAAGCATAAGAAATTAACCTTACTGCCAAAAGAAAAGAAAGAAAAGAAAGGCAAAAGAAAGCATAAGAAATTAACCTTACTGCCAAAAGAAAAGAAAGGCAAAAGAAAGCATAAGAAATTAACCTTACTGCCAAGAGAAAAGAAAGAAAAGAAAGGCAAAAAAAAGCATAAGAAATTAACCTTACTGCCAAAAGAAAAGAAAGAAAAGAAAGGCAAAAGAAAGCATAAGAAATTAACCTTACTGCCAAAAAAGAAAAGAAAGGCAAAAGAAAAAAAGCATAAGAAATTAACCTTACTGCCAAAAGAAAAGAAAGGAAAAAAAGAAAAGCATAAGAAATTAACCTTACTGCCAAGAGAATAGAAAGAAAAGAAAGGCAAAAAAGAAAGCATAAGAAATTAACCTTACTGCCAAAAGAAAAAGAAAGAAAAGAAAGGCAAAAGAAAGCATAAGAAATTAACCTTACTGCCAAAAAAAGAAAAGAAAGAAAAGAAAAGGCAAAAGAAAGCATAAGAAATTAACCTTTACTGCCAAAAGAAAAAAGAAAGGCAAAAGAAAGCATAAGAAATTAACCTTACTGCCAAAAGAAAAGAAAGAAAAGAAAGGCAAAAGAAAGCAAGAAATTAACCTTACTGCCAAAAAGAAAAGAAAGGCAAAAGAAAGCATAAGAAATTAACCTTACTGCCAAGAGAATAGAAAGAAAAGAAAGGCAAAAGAAAGCATAAGAAATTAACCTTACTGCCAAAAGAAAAGAAAGAAAAGAAAGGCAAAAGAAAGCGTAAGAAATTAACCTTACTGCCAAAAGAAAAGAAAGAAAAGAAAGGCAAAAGAAAGCATAAGAAATTAACCTTACTGCCAAAAGAAAAGAAAGGCAAAAGAAAGCATAAGAAATTAACCTTACTGCCAAGAGAATAGAAAGAAAAGAAAGGCAAAAGAAAGCATAAGAAATTAACCTTACTGGCAAAAGAAAAGAAAGAAAAGAAAGGCAAAAGAATGCATAAGAAATTAACCTACTGCCAAAAAAAAAAAGAAAAGAAAAAAGAAATAAAGAAATTAACCTTACTGCCAAAAGAAAGAAAGGCAAAAGAAAGCATAAGAAATTAACCTTACTGCCAAGAGAATAGAAAGAAAAGAAAGGCAAAAGAAAGCATAAGAAAGAAATTAACCTTAAGAAAGCCAAAAGAAAAGAAAGAAAAAGAAAGGCAAAAGAAAGCATAAGAAATTAACCTTACTGCCAAAAGAAAAGAAAAAAAAAGAAAGGCAAAAGAAAGCATAAGAAATTAACCTTACTGCCAAAAGAAAAAGAAAGGCAAAAAAAAGCATAAGAAATTAACCTTACTGCCAAAAGAATAGAAAAAGAAAAGAAAGGCAAAAGAAAGCATAAGAAATTAACTTACTGCCAAAAGAAAAGAAAGAAAAGAAAGGCAAAAAGAAAAATTATAAGAAATTAACCTTACTGCCAAGAGAATAGAAAGAAAAGAAAGGCAAAAGAAAGCATAAGAAATTAACCTTACTGCCAAAAGAAAAGAAAGAAAAGAAAGGCAAAAGAATGCATAAGAAATTAACCTTACTGCCAAGAGAATAGAAAGAAAAGAAAGGCAAAAGAAAGCATAAGAAATTAACCTTACTGCCAAAAGAAAAGAAAGAAAAGAAAGGCAAAAGAAAGCATAAGAAATTAACCTTACTGCCAAAAGAAAAGAAAGAAAAGAAAGGCAAAAGAAAGCATAAGAAATTAACCCACTGCCAAAAAGAAAAGAAAGAAAAGAAAGGCAAAAGAAAGCATAAGAAATTAACCTTTACTGCCAAAAGAAAGAAAGAAAAGAAAGGCAAAAAAGAAAAGCATAAGAAATTAACCTTACCAAAAGAAAAAGAAAGAAAAGAAAGGCAAAAAAAAAGCATAAGAAATTAAACTACTGCCAAAAGAAAAGAAAGAAAAGAAAGGCAAAAAAGCATAAGAAATTAACCTTACTGCCAAAAGAAAAGAAAGAAAAGAAAGGCAAAAGAAAGCATAAGAAATTAACCTTACTGCCAAAAGAAAAGAAAGAAAAGAAAGGCAAAAGAAAGCATAAGAAATTAACCTTACTGCCAAAAGAAAAGAAAGAAAAGAAAGGCAAAAGAAAGCATAAGAAATTAACCTTACTGCCAAAAGAAAAGAAAGAAAAGAAAGGCAAAAGAAAAGCATAAGAAATTAACCTTACTGCCAAAAGAAAAAGAAAGGCAAAAAAGAAAGCATAAGAAATTAACCTTAACTGCCAAGAGAATAGAAAGAAAAGAAAGGCAAAAAGAAAAGCATAAGAAATTAACCTTACTGCCAAAAGAAAAAAAAAAAAAAAGGCAAAAGAATGCATAAGAAATTAACCCACTGCCAAGAGAATAGAAAGAAAAAGAAAGGCAAAAGAAAGCATAAGAAAAATTAACCTTACTGCCAAAAAGAAAAGAAAGAAAAAGAAAGGCAAAAGAAAGAGAAATGTATATTCAGAATTACACAAATACAAAGGAAGAGAAAAGTTAAGAAAATAACACGAGAATATGTTGATACGAATTAAGCCAATAAAATTATATTGAATAAGAGAATTCAAATTAGAACGGAAATAAAAATGGCAACAAATATATTGTTTACAATGTCGCATTTCAAATTTTATGGCATTTTTAAGAAATCATATATTCAAACAAAATTATCCGTATAATATAAATAAAAAACACGATAAGAAACAAGAAATTACTTAACCCTAGAACACTAACCATGGGTATATAGTACCCAGCGCAAATTTTCTTATTTTTAATTACAATTTTCAGTACCTGATTTTCTTACCTAAATAATGTTTTCCAGTTCCTATTAATGCTAATTCAAAGTACAAAGTTTGTAGAGCCTGCATGTAAAATATTTCAAATAAAGATTTATATTTAATATTTTTTTGATATTTTCAAAAATGGGTATGATATACCCATGGTTAGTAGTGGTTTAACTTTAATTGATGGTTAGTGTTCTAAGGTTAACAAAATCAACCTTACATTATAAATGAGAATATAAAATGAATTTTAAACATTTAATATTTTTATATTAATTTTAAATTAGAAACTATTATGAATACAGCAAGAGAAAATTATAAATAATAAGCCAATTAATAGCTAAGCATGCTACCAGTAATTTACGACTACAAACTAATATAATACCTAAAGATAGTATAAATCACTGATGATACATTAAAATGTTTATCTTTATATAAACATTTTAATGTTATCACGATTGCATTTATTGATTTTTGAAGAGTACATTTTTGAGGGCCGCCATTTATCATCAGTCGTATGGATATGGGTTTGTAACCCTTAGCCTGAAACCAGGAGTTACAAACTCATATACATACGACTGAATATGTTAGCAACTTTCAATTGATATTGAGCGGCTTTCCAATAATATATATATATACAAATATATTATATTAATATATATATATATATATATATATATATATATATATATATATATATATATATATATATATATATATATATATATATATATATATATATATATATATATATATATATATTTTTGTTTTATGTATTTATTTAAAGAAAAATTTTTTAACACGAATAGTGAAATTGGTCTCACCTTTTTATATATATATATATATATATATATAAAAGAAAGAACAGTAAGATATATAATCCGGTGTTCTTATTGGTATTTTCATTTTTACAAAAAAGAGATCAATGTATATTTACAGAGCATTTTGAGGATGAAATGAAACTAATTACAAAATTAAATTCAAAGCTTTCAGCTTCCATTTTGAAACATGGTTAATACTTTGTAGCGAAAAAATATTTTAAATCAGTTAATTTATAATATATATATATATATATATATATATACATATATATATATATATATATATATATATATATATATATATATATATATATATATATATATATATATAAACATTTGTGTCCCACTTTTTGACTTTTGTCGTCAGTTTGTATATTTATAAAGTTGCATTTAATTTATTTAATATTTAATTTAAACCGTTAAACTTCTTTGTAAGTCAATAAAGATGAATATTTTTTAATTTCTTAATTATATTTCTTAATTTTAACAATTAATCTTTATTTGCAATCAATAAACAGTGACCTTTGTATATATATATAACAGATTCTATCTTCATACCCGTGCTATTTAATTTTGCTAAAACTAAATTTTATTGAAAAAGAAAGCCATTTAATGGAAAGATCATGTGTAGAAAAAAAATGATTCATTTTTCTTACTTTAACAGCCAGAGTTTATATATAGATATCGCGATAAAACAATAAAATGAGAAGAAAGAAATAAAATAAAAATCATCATGGAGTTATTGTTGCTTCTATGAACAGAATAAAGCTGATTTTACAAGTCTTCAAATACCATGTCTATTTAGGATGTAGGTAAACATGATAGATTTTTTCTTTATTGCCTTGGTTTCATGGGAAGATACTGGAGTAGGTTCTTGTTTCCTTCTCCATGGTTTGGATTTCATCCTTTTCTTAGATTGGTTGTCTCCTCCCTCTCCGGGCTAGGGAATCTAGTTTACTCTACTACTTAGATCGTTGCTGATGGCAGGAAAATGAAATGGGTTCATGCCTTCTTACGTGAACGCAACAAACTTGGCAGGAAATTGAACTCGGGTTATCATTTCCACTTTTACAAATACGCGACTAAAAAAAAAAAATTAAAAAGCAAATAAATAAAACAAAATAAAAATGATTGTATTTAGTAGGCATTACGCCTAGATGCCCGCTCAAAGGATACGAAGTAATTATGCTTCAACCACCTTGTTAAAATAAGTCATTTTTATCTGATTAGATTTGTTACTTCCCTTTATACTAACACACACACACACCCACACACACACATACATATATATATATATATATATATATATATATATATACAGACAGACAGACAGACAGAGAGAGAGAGACTGAGAGCAAAAGAGAGTGAGAGTGTGATTTCAGGTATGTGTGCTAGCTATAGCGAGCGTGTGTGATTTATTTAAGAATTTTATCTTATCATCAACGCTTTTCGATAATATTGCGGCTTTATTTTAACGAGAAAAAGGACAAAAAAAATGCGCCAGTGTTTAGAAAGCACTTTGTATAATGCGCGGGAATTCATCAAAAGAAAGATAAATAAACCGGAAATTGACTTCTATATCTAAGAATTTAAATGTGCAGATATTGTTTTTCCTTGTACTTCCGTCTATGAACCAGATGATCTACTTATTTATTTATTTATATTTTTGTGTTGAGTCGTTGAAAAGACAACATTTGGAATACCGATTTTTCAGGCAAATTTGAAGACTAACACAACACAGCTTTTCTACCTTCGACCTTCATTTTCTATTTACCTTAGTAAATATCTACACTCAGTGAACTGCTTACAAACTTAGATTCTTCATCATCTATGTGCCGCGTCCCTTCAGGACGTAAGTGATCATGGCTCTCCACAATTTCCTGTCCTAAACATTGTTCTTCATATATAAAAAATATATATGTCGCTTTCCCATATATATATATATATATATATATATATATATATATATATATATATATATATTCCTTATTTTTGTTTTCATTTTAAGAAGTGTAGGTATTTATATTATAATAATATTTTTTTGCAGAAAATAGAAAAAGACGAATTCACGTTGGGTGCATAATCCGGAGTTCTTAGTATTTTTGTTTTAATTTTTAAGAAGACAATGCTCCATACAGAAGTAGAGTTTATATTATAAAAAATAATATTTTTTTTTCTCTACTTTGTTTAAAAAAAATATGATTCCTTCGCTATATATTGTTAAGAGTTCTCATGTTTCAAAAAACGAGAGACGGAATATCCAAATAATTATTAAAATTAGGTTGGATTGTGGTGTATATATATATATATATATATATATGTGTGTGTGTGTGTGTGTGTGTGTGTGTGTGATAGCGATGGGATATATAGATATGGATATTGGATATATTTTATATTTTTATTATAAAGGATTATAATAAAAGCAATTTTAAATGTCTACTCAAAAACTTTCATGTTTCAATACGATGGTTACCGACCATCACCTGAGAAAGTACAATCAAAGTGTTGAAACATGAAATCTTTTATGTAACGATGTAAAATGTTTTTGTTATAATCTCTTATAATAAAAATATATTATTATAATATTTTTCTTACTTTGCTTGAGAACTTTTCAAAAAGTAAAAAAGCTACGAATAGTCTGGATATTTAATCCATTTGTTATTTTCAAATTTGTATATATACAATTTTTAAATTTACAGAATATATTTTAAAACAAAAAATACTTTTAAGCTTAACTTTGTTATCAGATGCATTCCATATACTTGAGTAGAAGTGTATTTATTTTCGTTTACACACAATTCTTTATTCAAATATATGAATCCACTTAGAAGGCAAAAGAAATTAAAAACAAAATAAACTAATCCTGCATGGACAAATAAAATATATATATATATATATATTATAATATATATATATAAATTGCACATATATATGTATATTTGTGTAATAATAACAAAACCAAGCGAAATGTGTGTGTGTGTGTGTCACACTACAATACCAGAGGCTATAAAAACTGAGCAAATTATTAAAAAAAACGGCCCTAAAAAGAAACTGTAACAAATTTAAAAAACTAAAAGCAATATTTCGTAGATATAAAACTTAAACGAAGTAGATTTCTAGATGTGACCTGAAACAGAAGCGTCATATTCAAAAAAACCTATATAAAACAAACACATACAATCCAATAAACAGATACTAAAATCGATTAACTAAAAAAATAAAAAGCTAAAATAAATAAAAGATAGCGGATTTAAAAATAGCAAGAACTAAACGAGGAAAAATATTCATATATATATATATATATATATGATAACGAAGAATATATATATATGATATAAATATGTGTGTGTGTGTGTGTGTATATAAATGTTTATCCAAGAAATAAAAAAATAAATAAAAACGAAAAATATATATGATATATATAAAAAAAAAAAAAATAAATAAATAAATAATATATATATATATATATATAAATATATGCAAGAATACCCATATATATATATATATATATATATATATATATGTATATATGTTTTATATTTACACACTGATATTGATATATATATATATAT